TAGACGTCTTGCTGGTCATATTTTTATCAATATTGACGACAGTGCAGTCCGCGCTATATCGGTTCATACCCGAAGATTCTGATGTATTTGTGGATTGTGCGGATCGACCAGAAATGAATGGAATTAACGATTGGGCAAATATCTTAGATTATTCCTTTGACGATGAGGGAATAATACATGCAAGGGGAACTGTAACAATCCTTTGGGATATTGAGCAAACTGATCGCGTAACGGTAAATACCAATCTTAGCAATTAAAAAAGGATAATTCAGTTTTTCCGTCTTTCATCTATGTGCTATCTACGAAGCCTTTTTAAGAAAAAAGGCTTTATTTTATTTTATTTTAATTGCGAGGAAAGTGATTAAAAAGTTTTTCCTTTCATGACTTTCCGAACAAAGGGAAGAAGAAATGATTATTTTATTGAAAATCTCCTCCAGCCTTACGAAATAGAACAAAAATTACTGATCAATTATTTTTGCAGATGGATATCGAATTAAAAAAGTATGCACGCGGCACCTGGGACCAAACTTTCTTATCCGTAAAAATAAGCGATTTTTGCAAAGATATGAGAGATACCAACTCTATGGTCTATGATTCATGGTCGAAACACATTACTCTGGAGGAGGGGGAGGAGATTCCATGTTTGGGGAAAGGTGTACGTATTGTAGACGGTATACTTGTACATATTGTAGAGATTTATACGCATTTCAAATTTAGGTAGAATATCATCATGAACCATTTGTAATGAAGGCCGAATTTAACGTGAAAGGTATAAATATGGAAGGACGGCACAAATTGGTTTTCATTTTACACGCATATGACAAAAATGATCGACGTAAGCCAAACAGTATTTGTTTAGAAGTTCCGGGGGAGATACTTAAGGTGTAAACAGAAGATCGATGCGAAAACAATTTTTTTAGTTTGATTTGTTTATCAACACTTATTAAAAGGAATAAAAAGTCGTTAGCTTAACTATTATTTGCTTTATTTTCTGCTCGGTATAAACTTGTGCACCAAAAAGTCTTTTAATATTTATTACCAAAGAAGGAAGATACACTCATTTTGTCAAGACGTTTGCAACGCCTAACAGATAGCATCCGCGATCCCGCAAAGTATATACATTTTTCAGCGGTTTCAAATTTGGAATGCACCTCAGTATGTACGTCCTTTCGCCTGTCCCTCCCTTGGTCTGCGCAAATGTAAACATTCCCTCGTTGGCGAAAATGAAGATATTGTCTGCAGATTT